AAAGAATTGGTAATAATAAGCAACTGAAGGCGATGGGTGTAAGAAGAGACTTACAGACGCACGCCTCTTAAAGGATCCGCAGTTCAATGCAACTTGAGGAGAATGCGGATATTTGTAAAGCAACATCTCATGCTCCAGTAGGCAATATGTGTTGTATTTGATAGAGAGGTTCTCCGGGGACCAAAGAATAATCGGAAGGGTACAATGGTTCATACTTGCGCAAAACGATTTTGTGACGATTATGTTAATACATTCAGCAGTTACATGAAATACAATGTACAGTACTTGTTTAACATTGTTTTTACATTCATTAAAAGAGACATCTTAATTTGTGGCAATTCGCGTACAAGATACAACCAAACATGTACGTTCTTTATGAATTGAACACATACCCCAACTGTCGAGTGTCTCATGGCCCACATGTGACATGTAACAGAAAACCAGCAATCATTTGCAAATTATAAGTTCATGTAAAATCTAATTTTGAAAATCGATCCAAGTTTCAATTGTTGTCAGAAAGAAGAACCAGTTGATTTCACAGTTTCATATTTCCCTACCTTCGGGTGCCTGTCATTGTTCGGCATTAAAAGCTTTAGTTGTAAGTACGACCGTGGCTACCACTGAGTTCATTAAAAACCACCAATCACCTCTCGCACCGCAGCCGTAATGTACAACAAACAAGATTTTTAAAACAAAATTGACATAAATGAGTTTTATAGTTAAGTATTTTGTTTTAGTGTCACAGATTTAAAAAAACGTAGGTATCAAATATTCTTAACCAATTAACCAATTAGCTGGCATCAGCATAGAATGGGATGCAACATAATTTATCACGTTTCTTCTGTTAAGAGTGGACATGGGCTTTCAACTTCTAATTGAAAGCCCATGGAGTGGAGTTTATCATTTAGTTTAAGGTTTATAAAACCACATTTAACCTAATATTTCTCATAAAAACTGAAATATATATTTCTTAACACCAACTATACATCATAGAGTGACCAGGGGTCACGTTATCAAATGCTCTGAATGGAGCAATGAAGACCTTGCTCTAATTTGTACATTATTAACAAGGATCAGAATCACATTTATTTCAATCAAAGTTCAAAAATTAAACGTGTACTTTGTGTGAAAAAAAGTTATCAGGTTGATTTATATCGCGAAATATTTTTTTGGGTGATCGCCTCATGCAATGTATAATTTATCACAGTGCGATATGTAGAAAAGACAGCGAATCATTGAGGCTGACACATCTTTCCCTCTAAATATACTTAATGAATAGCTCCTAAATCACACTACAAAATCAATTTGTCCGTGAAACAGTTAGACACATGGTGTAGGGTTTCATTTCTTACACCTAAGGTGTTATTACTATTGAGATGCGTATTGTTACATGCTGCGAGAAAAGTGTCGAAATGAAATGGTTCATTTTGAAATGTTATCCATTTATTGGAGGAAGGACATGATTCAGCTGTTATACAAGCTGCTTGCTGAGACGTACTAAATGGCAAACGACCGCAACAACCCTACCCTAACAATTTACGATGTTCAATATGCGCTGTTAACCTAATATCGTTCTCCCATTTTGGATTCAGAGTATGTTTAAGAAATATATCTTGAAAATGATATTATTAAAATTGAAGTGTCAACCTATTTGTAAAATATTAACATGCATCATCCTTACAAATGTAGACATTGATGTCAACTTAAAATACATGGTAATATGTATGTTACATTATGGATACGTTCGCTTAGGACGTCGGTATCCGTGTGATAAACCAGTTTACGTGTTCACTTAACGCCATCTTGATTGCAAGTAGTGCAGTAGGACCCAACCACCACCTGCTACGTAAATACTTCCGCTTCATGAAACCTTCCGAGCTTAATGATGGAGAAAAATTGATTTAAAAGACCATGAAGTAGTCTTATTGGGCTATATGTTTCTAGTGTTCCTATTGTGAATGGTATGACACCTTTGAATTCCTGAGTGTATTTAAATCCCACTGCGCACAGATATTATCACACTCTACCTGTAGTGTTTAAACTAAACCAATTCACAAAATATAAAGATTATAAAGTCCAAACAGCGAAATCCTTCCAATTTGCTCAATTTGTTCAAGTTGCTCTCCATTGATCGTTTAAAACTCAAGTGTCCGTGAAGTCTTACCTCAGCGATACGGGACTGATGACCACTGATACACATCGCAATTGGTATGCGCTAATTGTTCAAGTCTACAACACCGAAAAGTTTTATGGCAGCCAAATGAAAGTTTGATGAAACTTTCCAAACAATTAAAAACGATATTAAGGATAACAAAAGTGTTAAACCTGACAGCTAGAAATTTCGTGCAAAGAGATGTGACAACGCAAAGTACAAAGGGTAAGTGACATGTATGTTGGTGGATCAATTTGCCAAGTAATATCGAGCGTTTCTGACACCATTAATATGACAACAATTATCATGTTATTGGTGAAATAAATTATCCAGACATATGTGATAAATCGACGGGATGATGTGCTTGGTTTGATAACAATTCATGGTGTGAAGCGTAGAAAGTTCTTTTTAACTATAGGATGGAAGAATTTCAAAATACGCGTACTATAAAATTAAAGAAATGCAGGTCAAATAGAAAATAGTCAAATTATACATTTTGAAACGCTCTTTCTTGCAGCGATTAAAAAAACAAAAATTGAATAACCTTGGTATGATACATCCACGTGTATCAATAATAGTTGTATTACTAATTGGTATTGTTAATTACCAAAACTTGCCAGTAAATGTTTTCACAACCTTGGTAGACATCCAACACCTATCAACGAAGTCCTAGTTTATAAACCTAATCAAAATGGTTCTAAGAAAATTGAACATCTATGTACTAAAACTTCACTCTGTTGAACTCTACTCTATCAAAAGGTAGATGTATGTTACTCATCTCCTCAAAGACCAAAAATTCATTCATTTACAATATAATTATGCACCTAAGAACAGTACTTAACAGTATTCTTGATTGCTGCGTCAATATTTTGATATTTCATGTTTCAATAAACAAAAAACATACCAGAGCAGTTCTTTTTTAAACTTTTTGCCCAAAAAAATCTGGGAATATTTAAAACTATTGGCATCTACTTTTATAACCCTCTCTGGGATCTTACATATTATTGTTGATTGTTAATAATTACAATTTTCGAATGTGGAGAGAACAAAAAGTAGATGCGAAGGATTCAACAAAAGCGGGGTTAAAATGCCATCTCGATATACCTTAACTTTGAATGATATCATTCTTCGTAAAAAAAATCCAAAGTAATAACAAAGAATGCGCTCTTGAATTGTTAAGCGGGTACTTGGTAGCGTCTTAGAGGCGTCTTCAAGTTTTGAAAAAATGACGAATATTTTTGTAAAGCAAAGTAATCCCTCCTTATAATTGTTCTGAAGTGTTGTATAGTCTGCCAAGCAAACGGGTTAAAGAATCACTAGAATGTTAATCCATTTAGATCTCAACAAATTATTCCCGTGAAAATGGCATCAAGTTGGAGGGGCAACACAAAAGAATACTTCAATAAACCCACAATTAAGAATTTAACATTCAAGAGCGTCTCTAAACATTCTAAACAGCAAAGTGCACTAGGGGGACCAAGTACAATAAATCAGCCTCTTTCCATTTATACTTTTATTGATTTAATCGTCTATAAGTGTATACTTTAGAAAGCGTATCTATATCCGACTAAATGCTAAACTCTGAAGCGAACAAAATGATGTGTATGCATTCATAATGTCTAAGTCTGTTGAGTATAATTAAAACATTTTTTCATTGAGATTTAACATATTTGAATGTATGTATCACTTGGCACTTATAGAATGGCAGTGAAAGATATGTTTCAATTGAAGGGGCGAATTCTTCCTGTTAGTAGAACTTTAATAAAAGCCATGTACCCCAAGAGGCTATAGGACATCCAAATGGTTACTTATACACGCCTACTTCAGATTGGAAATAATCAATAAAAATGTACTTAATGTACAAAATACAACATGTTGTATAGTTATTAAAAATAAAACCCATAGGTAGTCTATTCTGACATACATCTGGAGAAATTTGTTTTTCGTACTGCCAGTATTACTCGTGTTTTCAAGTTTGTTTTTTCTCATTAGACTGTCAATGGAAACAAACTGGTTGTTTTTCTTGGATTAATAATTGATCAAGTGCATATATATCGATAATCTCGAGTTGGTTGTCACTTCATTAACTTTTACAAGTGACTATAATGTGACAAAGAACATTTTGAATGTTTTGTTTGATAAAGTTATTATTCATAAAACATTCAGAGGAAAAATTGAAAACATCTGACGTATCTTTTTTGGTCAAAGCACATGTGAAACTGTAAAGTATTTTGTTTACATGCTTATTATAGTCACTATATATAGTAATTATATTGGCTAAAATTGTTCAGTTCAATTCGATGGAATTAAAAAGCAGTTTTCAATACAAGAAGCACTACAGGCGCTAAATATTTTATGATGAAGTGTTCATGTCGCATTAAAATCGAAGGTCGATTGTATGGGCTGAAACAGAACAAAACATAAGCATACGAGTTTTGTCATGATTTCGAAAGGTAGACCAGTTCACAAAACAATTAGACCATAATAGTGATGGATTTGGAGATATTGTTAGAGACCTCATCGCATTAATTGATCGCTAGCTTTGATTATTAAATAAAACGCATCTGAATTAATGATGAGGCAAACCATATGCTTTATTGATAGACTCACCATCTTTCGCACCTTGCAGTCATCTGATTGGCCTATCAAATCAGAGATCAACCAATCAAATCACAAAGATCGAGATAAATGCAATAATGATTTGCTTTCGTTATAATTGATTTTTATTATATTTCCTAGAGGATGATCGTTTAGAAAAGAAATGCGGTGATTAGCGGAGGAATGTCCTACTGTATCGACGGTGCCAATCAAACAGTACACAATCGACAACATAAAAACGCAATCTACACTCGTCAGAGATCATTACTGAGCCGTCCGTCATATTATATATACCGTATATATAATCCAACTATCAATTTCTAGGATTAAGACTTCAGAGCGAGTCCGACATCACACTCCTATTGGGCAACTCACTAATATCAACTGTCGGGGACCAAGGGAGACACTTCAGATCGTTAGCACAGTCCACGATAAGGTAAGTGATCAACTTCACAGCTCTATTGTACATTGTTTGAAATGGTACATTTCATATTTTAAAATGATTTTTCAATCAATTCTAATTATGATATTCTGATAGGAATTCTTATTTAATTGAAAATTACGTAAATCATAAACTCGCCTACAATAAAGTTCAAATCACCAATAAAGAGTCAAAAATATCATGTAACTGCCTAAAAATTGTCTCGAAGGTTGAACTTCATATTTCATTCTTTATAATGTCTATTTTATAAAGCAAATGTCACGACGTTTTAATATTTATTTCAGGAAAATCGTCAATATTAACATTTATATATTAACTTTTCTCAACATTCATTATTTTGAAAAATGGTAATTTCAACTGTATAAAACTTCACTGTCAGATAAGGATATCACGATATCGTGAAACGTAAATTATATTATATTTCATGGATAAGTATACATTTGAATACAAAAGTATAAATTACCAATACAAGTTTATCTCCCCCTCGTTCTATAATTGAGCTTTTATATCCAGGCATATTATATGAAATAATAATTTTGTTGTTATGTTTTTACTTGCAATTACTTTTTATTACCCTCATCGAGTCTGAAAAGACATTAAATAATATAATATCATAATCATTATGGAAAATTAATAATGTATATTAATTTGGATATCATAGGTTTTATACATTAAATATAAAAATATGACGCGTTTTAAGTTATTTCAAACTTTTCGGAATTTAATATAATACAATATATTTGTGACTGTGAAAACTGAAATTCAATTAAGGAGTTTTATTTAACACATCTAGAAACTTGTTTGATGGTGATTTCAAAAAGGCTAATTGGTACTGACAGTTCCTTACATCTCTAATTATGTACTTGTTACATCAGTCAAAGTTTTCGATTGTTTCAAAATATTTTTCCTCAACTTTGAACCTCAAAAGAACAAATTAGATCAATTTCTCATTTCTCATACGGGGTCGCTCACAGTTGACGGCCACATGATCAAAAAGTAACTCTATATAAGCCTTTCTTTTACTTTGCCAGTGAAAAGATCAAACATTCATTGTGTAACGTAAGTAAAGTCGCAAATATATGTTAAGTTATCATTTATACACGAATGGACAAATCTTAACTCATCCATATATTTAAATCACACGGTAACACATACTAAAACTTGCTTTTTGATTTTCTTCCAGACACAGCTAGAAGCAACGAGGGTTGGATTTACTCGTCACAACCATGTTAACCACAGAGAACAATTTACAAGGTCTTCCTTCTCCAGATCTACCAAAACCCGAAGCCTGTCAAAGTCCAAACACGCCAAAGAATATGTCGGACGGGGAAAAGGAAGAGAAAAACATTTCTCGACCTAAACTCTCGTTCTCTATAGACGAGATAATGCGCAAACCCGATGTCAAACGTAGCGATACAAGTGAGCGCGAGAACAATCATATATCCTCTCAGAAAAGGCAGAAACTGTCGCCAAATGATGTATCCCCTTCAAGTCATGGGTTCCAGCCATACGTCTCTGGGTTGCAGAAGTCACCGATTGTTCCCCTGAACACCGACCCATACCCGGGTATGCCTTCAGCTCTGAGCCACCCAGCCTACCACGGCCTAGGCCAACTAGCCAGCTTTCCTACAATGGTTCTGGCTCAGAGGATCAACGAATACCAGGCCCTAAAGTACCATATGGACATGCAACAACGTGACGCACATTTAATGGCAACTTCAACCAAAATGGCACATTTAACACAAATTGCTCGAGCTCCTTTAATATCCCCCGTCTCTCTCGGTAATTTGACGTCCCCTCGAACGGCAAGACCGAATGCAAATCAACATAGCCCTGTAGACGATAGACGAAGGGACGTATTGGAGTCAAGCCGTGGCGAGGACGAGACTCTGGACTTATCCATGAAAAAGCTAGATTCGCAGAGCGCTGTTAGCTCCACTAACATGATTTCACCCTGTAGCTCTTCTGGGGATAAAACCCCAGAAGGTGAGAGTCCAGTTAATAAACAACAGAAAACATTTCCATGTCACGAATGTGGTAAGGTTTTCAACGCCCACTATAACCTGACGCGTCATATGCCCGTCCATACCGGGGCTCGGCCCTTTGTCTGCAAGGTCTGTGGGAAAGGATTCCGCCAAGCCAGTACATTGTGCCGCCATAAAATCATCCACACTAACGACAAGCCCCACAAATGCAGTCAATGTGGAAAGGCATTCAATAGGAGTTCCACACTGAACACTCACATGCGCATTCACCAAAACTATAAACCATATATCTGTGAGTTCTGTGGCAAGGGATTCCACCAGAAAGGAAACTACAAGAACCATAAACTTACGCATAGCAGCGAAAAACAGTATAAATGTAAAATATGCGACAAGGCGTTTCACCAGGTCTATAACCTTACCTTCCACATGCACACACACAACGAAACAAAGCCATTCACATGCGAGCTATGCGGCAAGGGATTCTGCAGGAACTTTGATTTGAAAAAACACATGCGCAAGTTACACGAGGGAGCATCTCCGAGTCGTGATCACGATCACGGACACACGGGTTCGAACCTGGACGTTCATAGTCAAATAATGAGCAACCAAGCCGCTCTAAACCTATCGCCAACATCGTTATTTCCAACCAATGCAAGAACTGTTCTTCAAACTCCAGATTTCCCGTCAAAGAACTCTTTAGAAGCCCATTCTAAACTTTATCAGTCATTTTTGCAATTCAATCCAGTGAGTAGAAACTTTCTACATAAGGTCCCATCATTTGTCTGAATTAGGATCATCCTCATCGGAGATCGCTTAAATTATTAATGATATTGTATAATTATTCAAGTGGCGACATAAATGTTGTGCACTTGTTCAACCATTCATGATGTATGATGTTGCCATTGTAGTCGTTTCTAAATGCTGTGCCGCTTCTTGCCATGTACCGTTATGGACATTTATCAAATTATATTTATTGTTAAAGGAGCATTTGATATCTGTTACAGATATGTGAATGCTTCAGATGTGCAAACATAACTTGTAAATAATTCACGTGGATGATGTCATGTTGTTAGGATGTCATTTTGGTGTCACTGAAGCGTCGTGGTGTCATGATGTTGCAAATAGGAATGAATATAGCTATATTATTTAATGTAATTTGTAAATACCAGATTTCACGATAATTTAAACGAGGTTGGCCTCAATTTTTGCATAAGTTAGAATCCATAATTCATATAACAAGACAAATGACAGAATGGTGTCATCGCTATCGACGACACTTAATAAGGTTATACATACAGGTTAAGATATATTTATATTTATTTGTTGTGGAGGAAGAAAATATAATTGTTGTAATGAATGAAAATTCAGAATAAATAGAAGAACATTTCTTAATTTAAAAAAATGTATTTATTTCAATAATTGGTTATTATAATGAGCTGGAAGCAAAATGAAATTGAACACCGGTATTGTAAATATTTGGAAAAGTCTTCACGCTTCCAATATGGCGTTCGTAGAGTCTCAATACTCGTGGTCATCCAAGCTTAATTGTTAAGGATGGATTAGTTGGAAATGAGATACCGTATAATAAGACAGTGAATGATCTACTTTATCGTGCTATTGTAAAGATCAAATTTGTCAACAGTGATGTTAATTTTCTGACGGCATCCCTGTTCAAACCGAATTATGAAGAGAGTTTTGATTATAGTTAATTAACCGCTAAAATAAAAATGGAAAATGTCAAGGTATATAATTCGTGTTATTTAAAAGGGTATTTTATTTTAAAAACAAATTTAAAGGCCTTCTCACATGAACGAATCCACATAATGCCTAGGTCACATTTGTCCCGATTCATCGGCCGATTGAGTATTTTGTTCAAAATTGAAGGTCAAGGGTCAGATGTGAACACCAGAGTGCTTGTACATGATTTAAAAAAAGTTTGGTCAATTTGAAGCAAGTTGAAATCAGTTTTGAAGAAAATTCTGCAATCGGTCGGGCGCCGGCTGATGAATCGGAGCCTTGCGAGAGATAAATTGTAAATTATGGCGATTGGAAACGTAAACATGTCAATCGAAGAGCAACTTTGCGCATTCTTAAGAAGCCGTCCGAAGCTTTCCAAAAGGATACTTCCACACACGAAAAATGCGCACACATAAGAGTCCTATTCGTCAGTACACGCAAGTTGTCGGTTTTTTCGTTCATATGTGAGGGGGTCTAAACATGTAAACTAAAGCCCTTATGGACGAGTATTGACCATTCTGGTTTTATCTTAAATATTTCAGTGCTTGCAGATGATATATGAAGTCGCCAATAGACAAAACAAAAACAAATGTATACCCCCAGAATCCCGACAACCACACACATACAAAAACAAATACCGCAATAATACGTATGTTCACAAACAGCGGGGCCAAAATGAAAACAATATATTTGTTACACAAGACCATCATAAAAGAGAAATCAAACTTAATTTTTTTTATTCAATGGATTTCATAAGTATACCTGCATTTTTGACCACACAGACCGCAGACGGTTTTTAATATCAGTAACAATGTTGTTTTTAAAGTATCAAGGTCGTATTGTTTCAGAAACGTACACATAAATTATTGCGTAATTTTCAACAAAAAGAAATAAATATGCAATAATGATCCTAAGTATTGCATCTACCAAATGACCCAATCAAGTGAAATTTTATAAAAGTATTTCTCATAGTTTAAGTGCCAATGCATATCTCAGTTTCTCTAATTAAAATAAGTTTCACCACTTAATTAGCCGTGAATATACTTATTAAGTTTCATTTTGGTGTATGTCCAAATCATCTTTTAAAAATTCTGAATATTTGTTTCAGCCAGTAAAGTCTCAAGCTAAAGATGGCAAACGAAAAATAAGAAGTCTTACGAATAAACATTTTCAAATTCTGAGTAACAAGATATTGCACACCGATCATAGACGCAATTAGATGAATAATCGACCTTATACTAAAACACTACGCTAAAACTGTTGATTACACGTGCAATATTGACCATCCAAACAATTTTGACCCCCAAGACAATGTCAATTTGGGCACATTTTGATGTTCATTAAAGTACTTTCACGATAGTACATGATGGATAACATTTTTTCGTCAATTGTTGATTGCTATGGAACAAAATATGCGTCAAAGTCTGAGGATTTCAATACTTAAAATTGGAAGTTTAAATGAAAGTAAAATTCTGGGCATATTTGGGCACATTTATCAATATTTTGGCAGGCAGAAATAATTTTAAGTTGAGTGTGGTAACCAATTGAATCCAAGAGGATGGACATTTATTACCACGAAATGATGAGACTACAAACATAGATGAGAATATTAGTGGAAGAAAATTACGGTAGCAAAAGAAAAAACTCGATAAACAATATCTACATTTCCCTTGATAAATATCCATCATGAATACCCATTTCTAGTCACATGGCAAATATTTTTAGAATTAGACATAATGAATAAATCAGATTTCATGACTTGGCTGTTACAAAAAACAGAGTATGTATGATATGTTATATCGAATGAGCAATTTAATTATTAGTTACATATACCGACCACATGGTAGCATAATTATTGGTTGAATTATTATATTTTTAAAAACCTGTTTTCAGATATTAAAAAATACCCTTAGAATTGTTGATATCCATATCTGACATTTATATCCAATATGTTTGTACCACTAACCACCTGTCAGGTTTAGTGAATCATGAAAACAACCAGCAACTAAATTACTCAATTATCTGAAACAATAGTATTAGCAATCAAATAAAACATAAAGCCTCAATCATAAATGTAAAAAATAAACCTTGACAGCAAATCTGTGTAAAAGATCTTGTCATTGATAGGAGTTGACTCTCTGGCATTTTCTTCCAGAGTGGACAACTTGTGGTCATGAAGAACTAAAGTCTCTGTCATCTACCATATGGCTGAAATGTTTTATGGTATTGTCTTTGGTAATTTGTCTCCTGTGATTCCAATCAGAAAAACTGTATCTTCTTAATTCTTTCGATCACCTATGAAATAATGTACAATCTAGGAGTGTTTGTAATTGTAGAGAACTTTGATTCTACTATATTACCCCTCACGCAATTCGCACGAGAACCTATATAATGCTAATTCACGACCAATTGGATGTTTAGGTTTCAGGTTTGCATATGAAATTTGATCTTGTAGCGATGATGGGACACTATCCATTAGGGCAGTGGCTTACCCAGAGGCCTGAAATAACTTTACAAAAATGTTTATATGTTTTTATACTAAAATAACCAGGAAATAAATATGCTTCATAGTACGTAATCACAATGCGGAGTTAAAAAATGTAAAAATAAAGCTCTACAATGACATTTACATAGAGAGATTATCGCTGCTTTGAATTTGACACCAAATGCTGACCTCTGCAATGACCCTAGCTTAAAAATCTGACTTCTTCAATGGCCTTGATATCAAAAGATGACCTCTCTGGTGACCTTGACAGTGATATGACGTAGTCGGGTCAGGCAGACTAATTTATAACTTATAATTACTTTATAACATTAATTAAATAGTATTATATTGGCCACCATTGGTTCAACATATTCCAATGCGCTCTATAATTTTTAAATTTATGAATGGAGGTTTTCACACCTTTGCCAGGAGCCCAAAGTTCAGCATTTTGCAAATATTGGCATGTTCCCTTTTCAAATTTAAATGTTTATAAAACATCCGGTACATTTACATATATTTTCGAGTAGTTTTCTGAAATAAATTTCTCAATGGGAAATATTTTAGTACGATCATGTTTGAAGCATACCATTGATAGGCCTACATTTCAAGATATTCTTATGATTTTGTTGAATCGGTTTTTATTATTTCAAATGAGCAACTGTGTACATTACACAAACCGTATAAAATATAACAATCACAAAATACAGAGAACTTATCAATAACGAAGGCAAATAGGTGAATAAAAGCCTCGCTCTATTGAAATGTATGACTATGATCGATACATATGGTATGTGACATGTGTCTGGAACAAGGAATGTATATAAACAATGTGACCCAATACATGATGCTGAAATGTAGAATTACAGCATTCCTAGCTCTTACCCTGGTGCCAGAGGTTCTGTAATGGCATTATTGAAGCAGGAAGCATGATAAATAGATTTTTGATTCTACATTATTGTCTGGGAAAGTATCTCCCTCCACATGCAACAGAAATTACAACAATCATATTCAATCATGATTAGAACCAGCTTGTAATTATCACTCTTCGACGATTTAGAAAAGTTGAACAACCGTTTCTAGCAATGTAAACAAACACGACAAATAAATTTTATCAAATATAACATTTTTGTAATTTTGATACAATGTTCCTAGCAATGCATTTGTAGCTTGAAAAATAGAATATTGAACATGCGCATTAAGCTCACCTGTCACTATGCTTTAGCAATACCAATGTCAGAAATTATGTAGAAGAAAGCATTCGCCAATTTGAACATCAAATATTCAACAAATATTTGATCACTCTGATCAACAGTCAATAATAGTTATCTATCGTACTTTGAAGTATAAAGACAAGTTAAAACATGTATCGTATTAAATATACCTGATATAATAACTTAAAATATACGATATATCATGTATGGAAAATTATTAATATAAACGTCAACAGGACAACAGAATCGATTAATAATTAATAGGGTGAAATTAAATGTTTTAGCTGGTGCGAAGTCCCATTAGGAACTCAATAAAAATCGATGTTTTCTTAATATTTTTAAAAATAAACTTGTTAAACAGCTTCAAGTGTATTGTTCCCGTGTTGAAAAGAACAGCTTGATGGCGTTTTAGGTATTAACGATACATATAATTTGAATGTTCATCTATGCAACTCCTTAGAAAAAAGCAAGAACATTTTATTAATTGGAAGGCATGTTCAAATGGACGCCCCGTATTTTATAGGAAATAAGAAGAACACGTGTTTAGTTGATTTGAGAACACATGCGGTAGGACATAACAGGTTCACTTAGACCATTTGGGAAAACACGTGTGATTTAGATGCCAGCAATGGCTCTCTACAGCAATGCAGTCCGTGGAAAATGAACTACGCGGAATGCTCTGCAACCATACGGGCTTCATCAAATAAAAACACAATTGCATTGAGACTATTAACAACGGGGTTGAGACTATAGACAGGAAATCTCTTTATATAATGAAGGGTCTCAAAGTTTACATAAGACATGGAGTGTCCGAGTTGCTATAGGTTAGAGGGAACCGCCCGCAGCTAAACGTTGCATGCTCAGAGGCACATTAAGGTCGCGTCAGGCGCACCTATAGATTTATCCATTAAATCATCACTAAAAACAAGGTTCTTCACAATCTATTGTTTGCTCAGTGAAA